TCGCTATGCAGTTCAGGCTGGCCTTGAGCTCACTTTGTAGCCCAGGCGGGCCTCGAACTTGTAATGATCCTCCTGCCTCAGCCTCCAGTGTTGGGATTACAGGAGTGCGACACCACGCCCGGCCCAGCCTTTTATTTTTAAATTTTTATTTATTTTTTAACTTTTGAGACAGGGTCTCCAGCGTGAACTTTTTTTTGTTTTTTGTTTGTTTGTTTGTTTGTTTTTTTCCCCGGTACCGGGAACCGAACTCATGACCCTGTGCTTGCCAGGCAGGCGCTGTGCCGCTGAGCTAAATCCCCAGCCCCCAGCGTGAACTTTCTATCCTCTTGCCTTAACCTCCTGAGTAGCAAGGATTACAGACCGGAGCGCCCAACTTCTTACTGATGTTCCCGTTACTGGTTTGTTCCCTTTAGCCCCATAGTTGTCTGTTCCAAAGGTAGTCCGCGAGAAGAAAATTGTGCGGTCAAGTTTTTTGTTAAATAACTTAAATTACAATATACAACTGGTATTTCTTTAACTCAGCGCTATGTGTTTAACCCTGAACAATGGGTTTTTTTTGTTTGTTTGTTTTGCCGGTACCGGGAATCGAACTCACGACCTCGCGCTTGCCAGGCAGGCGCTGTGCCGCTGAGCTAAATCCCCAGCCTCTGAACAATGTTTTTATACAAGTTGAAATTTACTAACACCTGAGATAGACTCTAAAAGAATATATGTACAGGTATTGGGGAGGGATGAATTTGTTTCTGAGCATTCAGACTGCTTTGCCATGGGGGACAGTTTTGAACCCAGTAGTTTTACAGGGGAGCACGAGAATTTTTTTGTTTTTGGGTTCAAACCCCAGCAGATTAAAAGAAAAAGAAAGAAAGTCTTTATTTGATGCCGCTGCCATTAAGACCACACTTTGAGAATGCCTGACTACTCTCAAATTTCTCCCAGGTGACTGGAGTGGGTAGGGGACATTTCTATTTGGCTGCAGGGAATTTAATTTTTGGTTTTTGAGCCTGGGCCTCACTAGGTAGTTCCGGCTAGTCTTGAACTTACTAGGTACCCCAGGCTGGCCTCGAACTTGCATCGATCCGCCTGTTTTCAACCTTGAAAGTGCTGGGATTACAGGTGTGCGCCACCACACCCAGCTCGTCTGTTGTGTTACTGAGCCTCATAGACTGAATTTGAGTTTATACATTTGTTTGTGGTTGTCTGGGCACACAGTACCAGTCTTTAGTAGGTGTTCAGTAAGTGTTTACCAGCTCTGAACAGAACGCCTGCTTGATCAGACCCGTGTGGAAGTTCCGGTTGTATGATTATCTCTCATCAGGAGCAACACCCTTTATCCTGCATTCAGTGGACCTTTCCTCACGCCTGCCATGCACCTAGCAGGCAGGGTTCCTGCTAGCCGGGAGTCTAGAGGTGGTCTTGAGGTGGCCGCAGCGTGAGCACATAAGTACAGTATGATCTGCTGAACCTTAAGATGGAGTTAAAGGGATCCCAGTGGGGATGTTCAGGGGTGGCTTCACATGGGAGGAAAGGTGAGCACGTGTAGGGGGCTAGAGACCCCCTGTGAGCCACCTGAACTCCAGAGCCTTCCCTGCAGATACAGACAGGGAGCTGCAAGCTGACTGTGAATCTCCTTGGGCAGCTCCTGGCTCTGTGGGCCCCGCTCGCCTGCAGTAGGGGTCCGAGGGAGGGTGCAGCCTTTCGCTTTGATGCTCCCCCTGGGATCCCAGTGGCCATCAGTCCTACCAGAGCTGTCAGAGTTAGGCAGGCAAACCCCAGGCAGCTGTGGTCAGCCCAGGCAGGCCGGCAGTCGGGCCCTCTGCCTTCCAGTCCGCACGCTTGCCTGCTTGTCTCTGGCCACTTCCTGCCCCAGCCATTCAGGTTTTCTCTGTATCAGCTAAACCTTTTTTATTTTTTCACACTTGCTTGAAAGTGCTTTGAATCCCTTACTAGCTTTTATTTTAGAGGGCAGATGCCATGACAGTAATAGCTATAGGTGGTCCCTGAGAGAATGCAGGCCCAGCCCTGAGGGGTTATGACCTTGGTCTTGGAATAGGAGCAACACCACAGCTCAGCCCTCTGACTTGGGGCAAGTTGTCTCTGAGTCTCAATTTCCAGGCTGTAAAATGGGTATTATAATAATGGACCTTCTAGCCAGGCATGGTGGCGCACACTTGTAATCCCAGCACTCAGGAGGCTGAGGCAGGAGGATCGTTGGGAGTTTGAGACCAGCCTGGGCTACAAAGTGAGCTCAAGTCCAGCCTGAACTGCATAGTGAGACCCTGTCTCAAAAAGAAGAAATTTAATAATGACCTTTCTAAATAGGACTGCTGTGAGGCTAAGATAATGTATGTTTAGAATCACTTAGTACAATGCCTGACCTGTCATAAGCACTCAGTAGAAGCCAGTACCAGTGCAATTATGATTGTTTTGTTTTTTTTTTAAGAACTTTTTTTAATAGTATATGTTTGCAGTACATAATGATTACATCCGTGGCGGGGAGTTGGTACACGCACATACAAATTCTTTTTTTAATCCCCTTCTCCCCTCCCCCCCCCACTTCTTCCCAAGATTATTATTGTTATAATTAATCATTACTAAGCATCCTCCTGTCCATAATGGACTGTGAATTCTAGGATGCTGAGTCACTGGAGGAAGGAAGATGCTAGATGCAGTCGAATCTATTTATCACCCACAGACACCTTCCCTCCAGCTTCTGTATCACCAGGCAGGCTCTCCTCTGGGGGGGGGGGCTGCCCTGGCAACCAATGGGGAAGGAAGGGTTTCTTGGCTAGGTCACCCCCATCCTTCCATGAAGATGGGTGATGCTTGTGGCTTGCCCACATCCTTCTTGGTCATAGGTCATGGTCTTGTAGGTATGCAGGCAAGTTTGGATCCAGAGTGGGGTTTATCACATACCGTGGCCGTGAGCTTCCCGGGCATGGGATCTGTGTGGTGGATTAGAAGTACCATGGATTTGGTTTTATGCTGTGCTATTACCTTCTTCAAATTTTTGACACTTTGGAACAAAGACCCTCGCATCTTTTGCGTTGGGCCAAGTAAATTATATAACTGATCCTGCCTACATTCACAGTGAAGATGCTGTCCCCAGGAACAGAGCTGAGGTGCAGGGACAGGGACGTGACTGGCACAGAGACACATAGGAGGTGGGAGGAGACGGGAGGAAGGGGTCTCCTGCCCCCTCTTCCCCTACTTCCTTTCCCACCCAGCACTTCCGGCAGTGAAAGTGCCAGGTACTCTCCCCCTTTTTGAGTTCAGGGGCCAGGTTTTTCTGACAGACTGGGTGAAGCCCTGAGTCCCGGCATCTGTCTGGGTGAACAGTTCTCTCTAGGTGATTCCATTCTCTCTAGGGTCGCTTCAAGGGGCTAAAGGACATGGGTGGAAGTGGAAGCAGAGGAAGCTCTGAACTGTGATACTCAGGAACCAGATGCCTGCGCTTGGGCTTATCCCCTGGCTCTTGCTCTGACACCCAGTGAGACTGACATCCTCTTACTTGGGCTGGATGGGTAGGCATGAGTGCCTAAACACCTGTAGCCCACAAGCTGTGTAGAATACTGTGTGAGATATGTGGGTGTGTGAGATGGTGTGTAAGTGTGTGTTGTGGGGTCATGGGAAGCCAGCTGAGTACAGAGGACCAACATCTGGTTGTAGCTACTGTTTAACTCCACTTACGTTTCCTGGGCATAGTGTTGCATGCCTGTAATCCCAGCACTTGAGAGTTTGAGGGAGGAGAATCACCAAGAGTTTGAGGCCAGCCTGGACTATGTAGGGAGGCTCTGTTTCAAAAACAAACAACAAGCACCAAGTATATTGCAGACAGGGAGGGACAGGCCCTGGGAGATACAAAGTCCTTAAGATGCTTTTAGACTAATGAACAAGAGACAATCACAAATAAAAACATATAGTTTATTTTCTAGTGTCCTGATCTTTACTTCTGTGGAGAAAGTCACAATGTGAAATAATGGGGTTACTGTGACACCCTTTGGCAAGATGGATATGAACTGCATACCCATCCTGGAAGACGCCGCATCAGGCACTGGCATTTGGGTTGTGGCTGGAAATGAGATTAACTTTAGTGTTCCCAATAATTTACCTGCAGATCCTGAAATTCCACTGGGGTCTTGCTCTAGGATTAAGCATTACTATTATTTTTTTTTTCCCCGGAGACCCTGTTTAAAATTCAAATCCCTGGTGGTGGTGGTGGGGACTGTGCATTGTTCATTGAACTGATAAAAGGAAAAGTGCTGCGTCATAAGATAGGGCTGCCCAAGGATGCTGGACTCCAAGGGATACCCGGATGGACACTACACGCAGAGCCCCCACCCTCTGCTGCTGACACAGTCCAGCTCTGAAGAAAGGGAAGCCAAAGGGAGATTAAGTAGAGAGCTGGGCCTAATCAAAACCCCACCCTAGAGCCAGCTTCTACCTGGTAGCTGAAAAGCTGGAAGCTCCACTCAGCTACCTGCAGGCCTCCGAAGGGCCTGCGGTGTCATCTGCCCCTCCCTTATCGATCCTTCTAGGATGGTCATACCTCAGTGACAGCTCTGTGGTTGCCCACAAGACCTGACAGGAACTTTCAAGTTTCTTAAAACACATTTAACCTACCATGGATATCCTTCTGTGAGCCGATCAGTTCTCCTACCCAGAGGCCACATTTGGCGCTCTGTGGTCAGGAGAAGAATGTGGAATTCAGCCACCCCAGAGAGGCCTCTGGAGTGAGGCAGAGCAAGTTCCCAGTGGCAATGGGAGTACTGCTCTGGGTGTGGCCAGACTGCCCAGCTGGTCCCTGAATACAAGAATCTGCATGCTTCCTTGCTCGCTTGCTTCCTTCCTCTCAGTTCCTCCCTCGCCAACCTACCTGGGGGCAGGTAATAAAGCAGGAGGAGGGAGATGGATGGATGGGGAGGGCGGGGAGCCACGTGGTGCCATAAAGCCCAGCTAGAGACCGCCCGCTGGCGCAGGGAGTGTCCAGCCTGCAGGAGCAAGCGCTCAGGGTGGACCCACAGCCAAAGCACTGGGGCCCAGGAATAGGCCATGTTTCGTGGAGCACCAGGGTTAGGTATCAGAGGCCTGAAAGGGGTCGAGGGCCCCGTGGAGGACTTAGGGGACTCTTGCCCCGAGGCTGCGAGGGATTTTGGGGTATTGAAGGAGAACGGCGCCCCCCGCGGGCTGGGAGAGGCAGAGGAGACAGCGGGCAGAAAGCGCGCCAGGCCGGTGCGCTCCAAGGCTCGGCGCATGGCTGCCAACGTGCGGGAGCGCAAGCGCATCCTGGACTACAACGAGGCTTTCAACGCGCTGCGGCGGGCGCTGCGGCACGACCTGGGCGGCAAGAGGCTCTCCAAGATCGCCACGCTGCGCAGGGCTATCCACCGCATCACCGCGCTCTCGCTGGTCCTGCGCGCCACCCCCGCCCCTCGCTGGCCCTGCGGCCACCTGGAGTGTCACGGCCAGGCCGCGCGCAGCAGGGCCGCGAGAGACGGGGGC